TTTACATATTATAACAAAATGGAACTAACTCGATCTAAATTACAGACTTGTATTTAAACCGCGACCTACCACCGCATCATATTTAAATTTGGCAGTATGTACGAAATAAATTTTTAAACCCAAAATCACGTGAAGTCCTATTTTCGAATGTTATTTTGAAATTTGGCCACGTGGCGCAGAAATAGGAGGTCTTTAGACCGAGCCAACCATAAAACAATGAATAATAACTCTATATATATCACTTAATAAAGATAATTCAGTAACTACTTGGCGAATAGTTTTACATGATACTTTCCCAATATGTTTTTAGAGTCACATTGCTTCAACTTGCTCTTTAAATATTCAAATTTTTCTCGGTGAGTAGATATAAATACTAGAAGATGGCCAAAAAAATTTGAATTTGAATTCCTGGTACATAAATTTCCTCCTTATATATCTTAATATATATCCGGAAGAATTTATTTCAATAGAAGTATCGCGTTAATTCGAATATGAATTGATTGACAAAAAGTTTCCGGAATCAATTTCCAAGTTTTAATTGACTGCAATAATAAATGATTTAGATTTTGTTAAATCTCTAGGAGAGACTCTCATTGGATATTTTCAATATTGAGAGTGTATTGAACAAGTGTTGTCTAGTATATATCGACAGGTGTTGATGGTTTGTGAATCCGTATTATTTATCATAGATTTGCAATTTAACCAATAGCTTAGGAGTTTCACCCGCGGCTTAGGAGTTTCGCCCATAGTTTAGGATTTCACGCACATTTTAGACAAATTTTAAGTTTCGTCACTAGTTTAGGTGCCTAAATTCCTAATGACCGTGGGAGAAACTATTTCGGGTTTGCTAGAATGATTTCGGTCACCATCATTAGTAATGTGTATAAAAACGAGTAGGTTTATTTTTGACAGCTATTCAAGGCTTGTGTGCTGTATGTGATGTGTCAAAGAAACCTATCAGGTAAAATAATTAGCTAGTGTGAAAATTCGGGAAAGCCAACGATTTTCGATCTTTGAAATTATGTGCACCCATGACACATCATTATAAAAGCACGATGAATTTGTTTATATATTTCATAACTCATTTGCAAAGCGTAATAAAAATTCGTTAAATAAAACAAACTACTTCGTGTAATTAAATAATTTCTTCAATAATAATCAAAGGTATGTTAGAACATTTATATCCTGCGTAAAATGTTTCGGTGGTATTGTCATCAGCTATATGAACTGTCACACTAATTGATTATGACGTCAAACAAGTTTTTCGAAGCTCTCAAACAAATGCCATTAGATCCTTTAATCCTTGAAGAAAAGTTTCCATATATCTATTTATTATCATCAAATACTTTGTTTTCTACATCTTTAAACAACAATCGATAAACTTACCGAAAAGATTTCTTTATTCTATTAAGAAATTCAACAAAGATTACACGAAAAAGATACTTTAACTAATAATTCAAGTAATTCTTGAGGCAAGCTCGTTCCAACAAACATATATCCCGCCGAATCATCTTTGGCAAGAAACTCATAATAAACCAAATATTTTTTTATCCTCAGTTTCAAAAACGCACATCATTTTCGTGCGAAAATTTAAAACCTTTTCGACGAAACTATGTAAGAAAAGATTATTCTATATAAGGCTGGCATGATAAATGAAGTTTTGAACGATCTTATAAATGAGAAAAACATAAGGGCCGTCTCGAACAAAGCACTAGAAAATTTTACAATCAAACAACACCATACCGTAGGTGCAATTGAAGCTTGGATTGAACTCAAAGTTAAAGAAAAAAATAAAATCAAAAATAGCAATACTTATAATAATGATATAATTAATTCTAACAATGGTAGATAGATATAATAATTAATGAAAACATATAAATTATTCGGTTTTTGTTAAAATTATAGTTGTTTGCGGAAATGGTTTTGCAATATAATTTTGGGCTAACTATCGCGAGAGAGAGAGAGAATATACTGACAAATATTTTTTTCACAACTTCCTACTTCAAACATGGTTAACCAAAACATTGCAAAGTTTTAGTTAGCCGTATATTAGGACCGATCAGATTCTTTTTGAATCCGAAGAAATCTTGCATCCTATTAATTAAGCATAAGTGTAGGGTAAAGATTTTTCAGTCAAGTCCAACACCTAAATTTAATACGTTAGACTTAATTAAAATATCTAAATGGAATTTTTCGGTTTTTCAAAAGTTCTTTATTATTGAGCCTTTATATAAAAAGAAATGTGTGCTAAATAGAAATAATATTTTAACTGTCACGGGACTTGTAATTGAATCTACGCAAAAGTGCCCCATTGATTATAATCTTGATATTGAGACGATATAATAGGGAATTAATATTTTGAAAGAGGACTTGATTGGCGGATTAATACTTTCAAGCCTACTCATAAAGTGTCACTCGTGGCAAAGAAAGGTCAACTTTGTTGTGAAAGGTTCATAATATTAGTTATTTTATTTACTTGGTTAAAAAATTTGTTACTGCTTGAATGGTGTATAGGACATATAAGAAAATAATAACTAATAAAATCTACCATAGAAATTGCCCTGAATAATCCTCATTTATTGAGAGAGCAAGCATCTATGATAAATGGGATTTTATGTTCTATAATATTTGGGACATGCCCCATTTATTGTTCTGGAAATCAAAATAAATTAAATTTAACCTAAATCTTCTTTTTTTCCTTCCATCTCCTTTAAATATCTTAGTAACCATTTTTTGTGTATAACACCAACATATTGACCATTTTCAGTCACACAAACATATCTTAATCCCAATTTTTTAAATAATTCTAATATAACTTCTAATGATGAATTTTTTGATACAGTTAATGGAGCCTATAAATATATATATTTTTTTTTAAATGATTAATTAATGAAATAAAAAATTTAAATTTTTAAAGTTTTTTTTTTTTAAAAAAAAAAATAAAAGTTATTATTTACTTGATCCATATAAACAGTAAAATCCACAGATTTATCGGGATTTTGAATAACACTAAATTCAGGTTCTTTGAAATAACATCTTGTTGTAGCATCATATTTTGGTGGTAAATCATTTAATGCATGTTCCAATTCTGTTGATGCTATATATCCTACCAACATATTATTATCTATTATTGGAAATCCTGTGTCTGAATAACCTGAAATTGCTATTGTAAAATATAATCAATTAGCTAATAATAATAATATTACAGGATATTTATTAAAATACATACATAAATTTTTTAATTTTGCTTTTAATTCACCCACAGTATTCAAATCATTAACATCAATAACTTCTAAATCCTTTTGTGTCAAATCAAATGTATTTGTTGCTTGAATATATTCAGCATTTGCATCCAAAAAAGGATGTTCATTCAAGTCAATCAACAAATTATAAATTCCATGATGAACAAATCCATCTGCTACCCATTTAGATATCATTATTGAAGTCATTATTGGCTAATCATGGAATTTATTATTATTATTAAATTAGTGAATTAATAAATCCAAATATTATATACCATTGTCAATACTTACTAACACATATGTTAATGCTCCTGTTAATTCAAACATAATTACTGTTAAAGAAACTGTCATTCTAGTCACACCAGCTAAAGCAGCAGCAGCTCCTACCATCGCATATACACCAGGTATCACACAATCATTTGGTGCTCTTGGATTACATTGTTCAAACACTGGAGAATCCGGGTACTGACTAAATTAAATTAAAGGAGAATATATAAATAATTCTTTTTTTTTTTTAAAGAAAAAAAATCATTATTATTAATTATTATTTAACTTACAAGGTAAGCCATTGTACAACCAATCCCAACATTCTACCAAAACATGCACCAATTAATAATGCAGGTATAAATATACCAGCTGGGGTTCTTATACCAAAAGTTATTATACATGTTAAAAATTTGGACATTAAGGCCACTGCAAGTAAATGAAATATTGGATATACATCTTTGGCCGAATATCTATTCAATTATATGAAATTTAATATTAATAAAAGTATTATTATTATTATTATGAACATATACATATATGTATATTAAACTTACACACAAAGACCTAATGAATCTTTTTCATCTGAACATTCACTAAATAAATTCGCCACTAAATCAGTATTTGATATCCTATTTTTAAAAGTAAAGTTATGTGTCAGAAATAAAATACTGAAATAATTTAAAAAAAAAAAAAATAAAAATACACAGTTTACTTTGTAAAAGGATTTAAATAATTAAGAGATGAAGTGAGAATAACAACCATTGCAACTTCTATTATTGGCCATTGTTTAAGTCTGGTGCCATTTCTAACATATTTAGTGTATAAAACAATACATTTACATAATAGTGCTCCAAATAATCCCTAAATAATAGAAAATAATTGACTGATTATTTTTATATATCCCATAATGTGAAAATTAGTTTCTTTACTACATACACCTAATATACCAAGGATTAGAAATGATCCAATTTCAAAAAAATGCCAGTCTTTATCATATTTTACTTGAAACATTACAATTTTCCCAGTACCAAATGGATCTATAAACTAATGAATAATTAAAAACAATAATTTTTTATTTAATAAAAAAATAAAAATTTTAATGAATTAGAAAAAAGTATTTGTTTACAAACCTTTAGAGAAACGGCTGCTACAATTGCACAAAAGAAACTTCTACACAAAGTTTTACTTGGAAAATAATAACTAACTTCTTCCAAAGAAAACAATACACCACCAATTGGTGCAGCAAATGCTACACTTACACCAGCTGCAGCTGATGCAGATAATATTTCTCTTCTTTTCCCTTCATTTTTATTATATTTATGGAATAATCTACTTATCACATTGCCAACACAACATGCTATATGAACAAATGGGCCTTCTTTTCCAAGAGTCATTCCAGACGATACTGCCATTGCCTAATGGATTCAATTAATAAAATAAAATAAAATATCTGTGACAAGTTTACTTGATAATAATAATAATAATATACAAACCAATGCAATGGCTTTAACCCAAAGTGTTCTTATACCAAGGAATCCACGAATAACAAAGCCACTTAAAATTGTTTTAACCTCAGGTATACCACTACCAGAAGCATATGGTTTAGGTTGTCTACTTTTTTGTGAATTATTGTTTGATCTTATTGAACGTTTTGAAGAAGGTGATGCATAAAGTGAATTGTGTTTCACAAGTAAGGCTGATCCAACTGCAAAACAAAACTTTATAAAATAATCAATTATTATCTATATTAATGAATTTTGTAAAATTAATATATTGATGTTCTAAAAAAGCTTACAGCAATAAACACATAGGCAAAATAATTAAACCAAGCGCTTTTTTTGGGATCCTCCATTTTAAATGCACTGGACCATTCAACCCATTCGGCACATGATCCTGAGTAAGATAAATATATATGCAAATGTGTATAAAAATTAAAAAGTTTCTCATACATTACTACTATAAACATTTTGAAAAATTTTTCATACCATGTTTTTGATTTTTACAGCAAAATTGTTTTTTCAATGTAATACCATTTGAACAATAACCATCCTTTAAATCTGAACCCCATTCAGCAGTTACATCAACTATTCCAGCAACACATGCAACAACAACACCTTGATGCAAATCAAATTAAAAATAATAGTTAATTAAATTTGTGAGGAAGGTGATATCAAAAAAGAAAATAGGTAATAATTACCAATAAGAAATACCAAAATCCATCCTTGTAAACCGTCCCAAGATTTTATAACCCATCCCGAGAAACCTTTACGAGAGTACAATTTACGAACTCGGACACGTTCCTTAATATAATCATGGATCCAATCTGATGTCATGTGTCACGTGTTATAGTATGATCTAATATAAAAAATTATTCAGATCGGGGAAGTACTTACCAATAGTTGTGTAATCATCGTACCAGACACGAATTCCGCCACCTTCACGAACTAACTCATGTTTATCTTCATCATAAAGGCCGCTTCGCCTTTTATAATGCGTTATAGGAGCTGTAAGTTTACGAATGTGTGAAGGGTTCCAGGTGTGTCTTCTATTAACAAAAGGTCTTTTTGGGTGCTGATTACCACTATTAAAAAAATTGTTAATTATTAATTAATTAATAAAACATTGACTAAGGATATACCCTAGGTATTATAGCAAAAACCAACTTATTACTATCATTCGAGGGGAAATGACTATATCGTCGGAAAGGCTCGGCATTTTCAAGTAATGAAGTGGTCTCAGTTGGTGTAACTTGTTGTTCGTTCTCCTCCAATATTGAATCAATTTGAGTATCCACTGGAATAATTGAATTTTGATTTTGGCTCATAATTTTTTTTAGAGAAAAAAATTTTAAAGTTCTATAGGGCAGTATTTAAAGAAATAAATATTCATGTACCTACTTACCCCTTTTTTCCATTAGGGGGCACCATAAATCACATGATTTATTTTAATTGGTATTAGTGAATTGATCGCCGTAGATGATCCACTTAATATGGATGGACTGACCTCCTTGTTATATATTAGTGATACAAATAATTATAAATCTTTATTTTATTATTCATTCATAATAAATACATGAACAATACAACAATGAATGATAATGAGTTTACCTAATTCCGATCACATATATAAAGACCAAAAGCTTCTATATATTTAATTATTGATATCTTTGACTTTTAAAAGTTATTCACAACGTATATTTCGAATTAACCTTTTGCCATTATTATTATGAATTGGATTGTTTAATTAATGACCTGATTTGTTTGTATCTTTGGTTGTTGATAATTATTTATTATCATCTGAATTCGTGTTACGTTTCGCGTATTTAAATTATTATTAATTAATCCGTAGCACGTTCATATTATTTAACTTTATTTAGTAGAGATTAATGACGATTATCCCGGACCGGGGCGGAATCGTCCAAGTACAAAGTGGGCGGATTCGCCCAATTCGGGCTAATATGTAAATGAATATGTATAATGTAAAATACTAAGAAAAACTAAAATAAAATAGTAAATATTTATTTTATTTAACACTTTTATCTTTTTTAAACAAAATTATTCGCTCAATTCGTTGATATTCATTCTGATCCACACAAAAACAAAAATAATTGTTATCACCTATTAAAATACACTCTCCCAAATTTAATCGGTGACAACTTGGTGCGAGTTGTGTGGAAATTTATACAAGATAAACTATAATCAAAAATCAGCGGAATTCTTTTTAATTGCATAATTTACATTTTCAATTTTTATTTTTATTTTATATATTAACTTGCGAGGTAGCTTTTATTTTTTTCATTCTATTACCTTCCAAGGTTAATTATTTTATCTCTTATTTTTATTTTTATTTTATACCTTATGAGGTAACCTCCTTATTCTTTATTTTCTATCAATGATTCGTAAATGCAATTAAGAGAATACAATATTGAATTAATTAAATCAGAAATTTTTAAACGTGTTTATCAACAAGTTCTATAAAAGATTATCAATTTGGTTTATAACTATTTCGCTGAAAATCCAAACCAACTATTCAAGTTACACTATCAAGAGGCAGAAAAGCCATTTAAAAATCATCATTTAAACAAAAAGTGTTATTCCTGCGGGATTCAAGGATACATTAAAAGAAACTGCAGGGTCCAAGGATTAATTGAAGAGGAGATTGAATTCGTTTTCCAAAAGGAACCATCTTGCAACTACTGCAAAAGAAAGGGGCGTTCGGAAGAGAATTGCAACAAAAATAATTAAAGAGGAATTTATTTTTCGGGAAGAAGTTTCTTTTGAAGACATTCCTGAAGTAGTACCATACGACGAAGATCCTTACGAGGATTAATTGAATGAACATAGATCCTAGTCAAGAAACAATACAAATCATCCAAGAAAATACAAGGATCCATAACCAATTACATCAACATAAGAGGTATCACAAGCACATAGTGATATATCTTGTTCAATTTGTCATCCTATCAATCGAAATTTTTCGCCACAATTTCAATCTTTTGGGATTGGATACAAGAAACGCATCAAGCGATAGAGTGCACTTCAGAAACTGTAACCACTTTCGAACAAATATTATTAGAACAGGGTCCAGTTCAACTAATACAACTTGTCAGAGTATTATTAATTAGTATTAGATACAGAGTATACCCGAGAAGTTTAAATACAATAGTTCAGGATTACTTTTTAGCAGCTAGAGGAACTCACCACTTTAGGATAGCCTTGAACGAAGCACCTCAAAGTTCTCCGGAACCCATAACTGAAGAAGAAGAAGAAGACAATCCTAGTGAAAGTAGTGACTCAACAATATTTAGTGATTCAAACTCAGATAGTGATTCAGACAGTAACTCAAATGAATCAACATTTGGTTTCAACCAACTTTTTAGTCAATCCATCCACCAGCAACGGCAGCACCTGCCGAATTAAATAATGTTAAGTACCCAGAATACTATGGAGGGGATCAGGACCCAATCACATGTTTGGAAGAAATGGAAAAGGCCATTGTAACGAATAGAGTAGCAAATAATAGAAGACTAGCAATGACAGTACCAAGATTAAAAGGAGAAGCTACATGGTGGACTCAAGTCAGGGGAAATATAGACCGGTAGGATGATAACACTAATAATAATACAATAGCAGCAAGCTTTGTTCCGAACTTTCAAAGGAGGTATAAGTCAAGAGCAATGGGAGAAGGGTGGGCAGCAGAATTGGGAAAACGTAATCAACTACCTGGAGAAACAGTGGATGCTTTCGCAACACATATATATGAATTGTTCAGGAGAATTGAACACGGGGGAAACAACTATCCAGAAAGAGTCAAAGCGAGAATGTTCATAGAAAGGTTACGACCAGAATTATCCATGGCAGTAAGTCCATTCTTACCTGACACTATCCAAGATGCAATTGAAAGAACTAAGGCTTATGAAATGACTTACTCTAGAGGAGGAACCTTGTCAGCGTATTCAGCAGAACAATTCATGCCTAGCATAATCCAGGAAGTAATCAACCATTGCAAGGGTTAATTGATCAACTGGTTAACCTAATGAAAGGAAATAATAATGTCCAGCAGAGACCAAGGATCCAGAATGTTGAAAACCGTTCGCCGGTAATATGCTACAACTGTAAACAACAGGGTCATGTAAAACCGAATTGTCCACAACTCTCTAATGGTAACAACAATGGTAATAACAATAGTAACAACAGTGGAAACGTAGGAGCCAGATGTTATCGTTGCCAGGAATTAGGACACTACAGTAAGGACTATCCACAAAATAATAATGGAGGAAACAACAACAACAATAGTAGTCGTAACAATAATAGGAACCATGATAATAATAATAGTGATAACAATAATGCGACCAGAAACAATAATAATAACAGTAGTAATACCAATAATCGGAATGCCAATAATAATACTCAGCAACAATCAATGTTGGCAGACATGGTTATAGGAAATACAGTAACGTTAATGTTACCTGTAGAAACAAAGAAACAAAAGACTACTGAAGAAGGAACAGGAGTAGCAATGAACATACAATCAGAAGGAAGTGATTCCAGAAGAAGAAAGGAACCAATGAAGAAGTAAAGAAAAGGACTACGAAAAGAACACCCAGAAAAAAGAGAAATACAGTGCAATCTCCAATTTCGAATTTGATACAACTATGCTCAGTAGTAACCGACATCAAGAAGCAGAAGGCTGATATTATCTTCGGGCAATTATTCCAAGCAGTACCAAAATTGAGATCGGAATTGTCTAGGAGTTTGCGAACCCCTCAAACAAGAAGAACTAAGAAGACATCTCAGACTGAACAATTAAATGCAGACACAAGATCAACCGTAATGTACTGCAAAGCAAGTATCAACGGAAGGAGCTTTCCTATAATTATAGATAGTGGAGCAGGAAGTATAGTTTCTAAAGGATTGTTGATAAACTAGGAGTAAAAATTACGCGAAAATCATCTGTTGTAATCATCAATGTGAATGGACAGAAAACTTCACCTTTGTGAGAAGTAGATGACTTACCGCTAACCATTGGAGGAATAACAATTCCATTATCAGCAATTGTAACAGAAACAAACACTTTTAATGCTATCCTAGGAAATGATTGGTTATCCAAAGTAAATGATGTGGTAAATTTGATCTGAATCATAGTAAAATTTTATAATCAAATGTCTTCACACCCTCGTTTGATACCCTTGCCGTGTAGCAGCCACCACCAATTTTGAGATATAATTTCTTTATCATATGTATCTGTTTTAAGAAAATTTTTAAGGCAGGTTGTTAATAAAACCGAAAATAATCTGACCCTCAAAGTCAAATTTTGCCTTTATATTCATATGCGTAAAATTTTGTTTGACGCGTCCAATTGCAGATATAAGTGTCCAAATATTACATTATTATGAATATTTGATCGCTTAGGTATGTTTTTTATAGTAAAATCATTTATTTTAAAAGTAAATAATAAATAAATAGATTTTAAAATTTTTCTACATAAATAATGATTAGAATAATAAACAAGCAACAATAATGATTAAATTAAATGGTATTTTATCTCTAACTTTATTAATTAGTTATTTAAGTGAGTGATGCTATTAAATATAAGTTAAAATAAAAGAGAAATTTATATACATAAATAAATAATAAACATAACTATCGAATGATTGATAAAACATTCATTTTTGTAAAACTTGCTTTGCAAGCTTCATAGGTCTTGCCCTTAACGCTTACTTCGATCACTCCTATACAAACTATTGAATAATTGATAAAACGTTCATTAGTATATTTTGTTCACAGATCTTGTCCCTAACGCTTATTTCGGTCACTCCTACACAAACTATTGAATAATTGATAAAACATTCATTAATATGTTTTGTTCATAGATCTTGTCCTTAACGTTTACTTCGTTCACTCCTATACAACTATTGAATACACAGTGTATCTCGATTTAGCGGATATGTTCGTTCCAAAAAAATTATCCGCTAAATCGAGATATCCGCAAAACCAAGATATGATGAAACACCCACATGATACGTGTACAATAATATTAGTATTTATTTATTACAATAAAATAAATAATATGATAATACGTACGACAAATAATCCTCCTAGTTTATCAGAAATCTATCAAAAAATTTACATTTCATCATTAATTACTGTGCCCGTATTAGTTAATGATCGACATTATCTGTTGTATCGAAATATTTTTATTATGGTCGAACATATAGATTTTTAAAAAAAGATCCCGCTAAATCGAATATATATGATAAATCCGTTAAATCCGTTAAATCGAGATAAAACAATTATAAATGGATTGGGTTTTGAAATTTTATCCGTTAAACCCTTAAACCCGTTAAATCAAGATCCGCTAAATCGAGATACACTGTGTAATTGATAAAACGTTCGTTAGTATGTTTTGTTCATAGATCTTGTCCTTAACGCTTACTTCGATCAATCCTACACAAACTATTGATAAAACGTTTGTTAGTATGATCCGTTCATAGATCTTACCCTTAATGCTTACTTCGATCACTCCTACACAAACTATTGAATGATTGATAAAACGTTCGTTAGTATGATCTGTTCGCAGATCTTGTCTTTAATGCTTAATTCGATCATTCCTACACAAAATGGATCTTAATCTTTATTATCATCCTCAAAAAGATGATTTGTTGTCGTCGTCTGCTACTTGTTATTACTAATATTATTGTTTAATGTTGTTATAACAACTACTGATTGATGGATATTCATATAATAATCATTAACGAAACTTCAATCAATACAAATTCAGAAATATAAAACAATCACTAATAAAACGCCTTTTAGTTTTTGCTGAATCCCATCTACATAAAATTCTTCATGACTAATAAAATTTCTATAAAATAGTTTTTCGTGAACCTCTCTAAAACTTACTAACCAATACCCACATAAAGCAATGACCATATGAAATCTTAATTTACTATACCCCTTCTTATTTACTATCAAGTCTTTTAAAGCAATATTGAGAAATAATCTGAGGTTTGAAGTGAAAAAGTAATACCGTTTTTGAATAGCCGTGAATTCATGTAGAGAAGACCTTTCGATATGAAAGAGTATTCATTAGAAAGCTTTAATGGAGTATTTTCATTTTATCCTAACAACAAAGTTCGACTTTATTATAAAAATAACGAGATATTTTAAAAAACTTCATGTGACACGAATTTCGAATTTATAACCTCAGGGATATGTCACATGACCAGTATATACTTCTTTCATGAGATAAAATTTTGATTGACCGACTGTAATAGCATCTTTAGCACTTTGATAATTGTCAAGTACCATATTATTGTCATTCTTGTATTCATAAACAAATTCTATGTCTGTACATTCAACCAAATTCGTTGTTATTATGAATTTGAGTATTCAAAATTACATTGAAAGCTTAATCGAATAAAACGAATAAACGAATAATTTGAGTAAAATAATATAACAAATAATTCGAATAATTCGAATCAAACAAATGAAACGAATAAATGAATAAACGAATAATTCGATAAAAAGAATAATTCGAATAATTCAATCTAACGAATAAAACGAATGTAACGAATAAAACGAATGATTCGAATGATTCGAATAAAACGAATAAAAACAAATAATTCAAAATAAAATGACTAATTTGAATAATTGATAAAACAATTAAAACGAGTGATTTGAATAAATAAAATGACGTAAACAAATAATTCGAATTGAGATTGAGTGTTACTATTACGAATAATCCGAATAAGAATTTGTATTACGAATAAAAACTCTGTCATTCATTGAGACAATGAATTGTCTGTTATGTATATATTTCTTTTTGATAATTTGAATTTAATTATGATAATAAAATAATATTTAACAAATTAAATGCTTTTATGTTTAAAAAATTCAAACAGTCTTTGATACCTAAAACCAGATCATTGACATCCCTATTGATTGGTTACAAAACTAACAACTTGTTATATACAAATTAACTTTAACAAACATGTTTACTCAATGCGCCAGTCCAGATTTGGTCAATAAAATTTTGAACTGCGTATGTCCGATTATTAAAATGCGTGTGATGATCATATAATGAATTAAGCTTTCTTAGCTTAAAACAAGTATATCATTTATACAACGAAAAAATATTAATGGGTCTAAAAAAAGCGAAAGAATTGATATATAATAATAATAGACCTAACTAGAGTTTGGATCCGATTTCTATTAAATATTAATATGTAATTCAAAAAAAAAATATTTTAATAAAAAAACGATTTCAAAATGTCTGAATAATGATGATGATGATGATACTAATAGTATTAATATTAATAATAATGAAGTGATTTATGTTGGGAGTAAGTATAATTAATGAATGACCTTTTAACAATAATTCATACATGTTATGTTAATAATATTCATTCTTTGCTACAGATAATGCAGATTCATCTTCAAATATATCTAGAATAAATAAAAAGAAAAGAAAAAATTATAGTT